GAGGAGGATGTGAGGAGGAGGAGGAGCAGTAGGAGGAGGAGGAGGAGGAGGAGGATGACGATGCGAGGAGAAGAAGGAGGAGGAGGAGAAGGAGGAGGAGGAGGGGGAGGAGAAGGAGAAGGAGAAAGAGGAGGAGGAGCAGGAGCAGGAGGCGAGGAGGAGGAGAAGGAGGAGGGGGAGGAAGAGGACAAGGAGGAGGAGGATCAGGAGGAGGGGTGGAAATCAGGGGAAAGGGTACAGCCAAGACGCCGAAGCTCTTTCTACGTCGCAGCGCGGCAGAGGCAGTTCGCACGCGCGCTCTGGCGGTCCGGAAACCACGGAAAGTGCGAAAGCGGCCGCTAAGCGGGAGGGTGGGGGCGAAGGCCTTCACGTGGCGAGGTGCGTCACCTCGGAGCGGCCGGAGCGGCCAGCCAGTGCAGCACCGCTGGAGCGGCCCGGACAGCTCGGGTTCGGAAGGGGCTCGCTGTTCCTTGGGTCCTTCCGTGGTCGTTCCACCAGCCCTCCTCGTGCACCCAGGCCCTTCTGGTGTCAAAGACGGGCGTCATTGCCTATGTACCGTTCCTTGCTTCAGCTTCCCGACCGTAGGTCCCTGGGCGCCCTCCCATCTGTGGGATGCCTCTTAGTCGCTGTCTTGGAGGTGGGCTGCTTGAGGGCTGCTTGCTCTCGCAGTGCCTCGAGTTCTTGCAGTCAAGGCGTCCACTGTCCTCCAGAGCAGATTGGATTGCGGGGTGAGGTTGCACGAGGAGGAGGAGGAGGAGTAGGAGGAGAATGCGAGGGATGAGTTGGAGGAGGAGGAGGATGAGGAGGAGGAGGAGGAGAAAGGGCAATATATAGGATCGGGCGGAGGAAGAGGATGATGATGAGGAGGAGGACGTCAAATGGTATGATGATGGCGATGCTGATGATGATGCTGCTGCTGCTGATGATGATGATGATGATGATGATGATGATGATGATGATGCTGATGCTGATGCTGATGCTGGTGCTGATGCTGATGCTGACGCTGATGCTTATGCTGCTGATGATGATGAGGAGGAGGACGAGGAGTTGGGGGAGGAGGAGGAGGAGGAGGAGGAGGAGGAGGAGGAGGAGGAGGAGGAGGAGGGCGACGAAGATAACGAGGCGGAGGATCATACATAGGGTGTGAGATGGTGAGGAGGACTACCAGCAGCCACGCGGAGACATGCGAACACATGCGGACACGCACACACATTATATCCAGCACAAGTTGTGATGTTTAGCCGTCCGAGTCTCTGACCGTACACCGAGTCATTGCATTGAGCCTATGTGCGGCCAACCACAAAGTTGGCATACTCAGGAGGGGCACGTGACAACTGGCCTCTGTTGCTTGGCCCAAGGGTGGTAATCCTATTGCCTCTTGCATTGCATGCGGGAGCAGGGTCGAATTCAACTTCCGGTTGCAGTTGCGGGCAGTTGAGTAGATCAGTAGTTCTAGCCTGAACCAGTAACGGATTACGCGCGTGCGTTCAGGATTGTAACATAGATCACACACACACGCACACTTCACACACCCCGACGTAACCCGCAGCAACAGCGCCTCGATTGCTTCACGATGGTGACAGCGAACCTCCTCATCTAAGCCTCCTCTTCCACCTCCGCCTCCACCTCCACTGCATCATCATCTCACTCCGTATCAGCCCCCGTACCCACCTCAGCCGACGCTTCCGCCTCTCCTTCACCTCGCTTTGTTTCTCTTGCTCCTCTTGCCTCATCCTCTTTCTCGTATTCTTCATCCTCTCCTTCTCCCGCCATCTGGACAGTTTTCCCATATTTTGATGTACCGCATGTCCACACATTACAATCCCCCCTACGCTTGTCCTCCCTTCTGCCGAGGGGAGGAAGGAAAAAGAGAAGGCTGCTCGGCGCAGGTCCGCGCCCAGTGGCCTCCTGCTAGTTCTTGGCCGGTGCGCCGAGGGCGGCAGAGTAACATGCCGCTCTCAGCCGTGGGACTCGCCCGCGTTCAGGAGCGTGTCCATTGCCGTTCCCGGGGTGCTGGAAATGACTCCCCTTGGTACTTGCTCGTTCTGTTGGGGGGGTGCTTGTTCTTGTATTGGGCCGGGCGGGTGGGACGCAGCATGGAACTTGAGAGGCCAGGTGTTCGCCGGCACAGGGCCAGCCCTGGAGGAGGAGGAGGAGGAGGAGAGGAGGAGGAGGAGGAGGAGGAGGAGGAGGAGGGGAGGAGGAGGAGGGGAGAGGAGGAGGAGGAGGACGGAGGAGGAGGAGGAGGAGGAGGAGGAGGAGGAGGAGGAGGAGGAGGAGGAGGAGGAGGAGGAGGGGAGTGGGGGGAGGGGGAGGAAGAGGAGAATGGAGACGATGGTCTTAAAGGTAGAGGAGGGGAGGGAAGGGAGGAGGGAACAGGGAAAGGAGGAGGAAACATTGGGAGCGGGGAGGGGGGAGGAGGAGGATGGAGGAGGAGGAGGAGGAGGAGGAGGAGGAGGAGGAGGAGGAGGAGGAGGAGGAGGAGGAGGAGGAGGAGGAGGAGGAGGAGGAGGAGGAGGAGGAGGAGGAGGAGGAGGAGAGGAAGGGGAGAGGAGGAGGAGGAGGAGGGAGGAGGAGGAGGAGGAGGAGGAAGGAGGAAGGAGGAGGAGGAGGAGGAGGAGGAGGAGGGAGGAGGAGGAGGAAGCGAGGAGGAGGAGGAGGAGGAGGAGGAGGAGGAGGAGGAGGAGGATCCCCACGCTGTCCGTCACCACAAGGTTTTCTATGATGGGCCCCGGAGAAGGGCCATCGGGCCTCGAGGGATGCCTGCTCTCGAGGCTTCTCGCCGATGGCGGCCCCCTCCGGGCCCTCCCTGGGCCCCCAGCGTCTGCGGCGCTCTGCGCAAGGCCTTTGGGGGGCCGGCGCTCTGCGCTGTGCCTGTGCTGGCCATGGGGGTCGCTACGATTCAGTCGGGCATGTTCCTCCACAGGAGGAACAGTCAAACGTAGGAAAACAACAATAGTGTGGGGACGTTTGTTCTCTCATAGTTTACACAACTTCCTCCCAAAGTCCGCCTGCAGGAGGACAGGCCCGACCTAACACTACGATGGAGATGGGTACGGGAAGAGCTGGTGCGACGATTCGGCGGTGAGCCAGGGGGTCAGTGAGAAGGAGGAGGCCATCTCACAAGGCGGCGGGGCTTCTCAGGAGCCATCGCGCCTTCTCAGAGTCGTTTCTGTGTGGTTCGGAGAAGGCTGAAGAAACTTCTCAGAGGACCCGAGGCCTTCCGAGCCTTCTGAGAAGGCCCGCCCTTTCTCTTTCCCCCCAGGATCGCCGCCGATCGAAGCGATCGAGATGGATACGCAAAGATTCGGTGTACGAAGACCGACGGCAGTTGCTGCTCATCTTGAGCAGGAGCCACTGTCGGTGCCGCCGCGGGCAGTGTCCACTCGAGGCAAAACGTCGTCTTCCCAGCAGAGGCCGCCGTCGGTTTTGGACAGCACTTGCTGCTGGGCATCTCGCCGTGTGTTCGTACCCCTTGAAACAGGCGTGCCATGTTCATCGCACTGGAGACCCACGCCAAGAAACACCCTGCTTGCCTCCAGGGTGCCCTGGGTTTCTTGGGCTTCGATGGTCTTGCGACGGAGAGCGCGACGCTCCCGCGCCAAACATCGAGGGACGTCCTGAGGTCTCAAGGTTGGGCTTCTTGTGGACGGCTTCCTGCGGTCGGGCCCCCGCTGTAGGCGAGTCTCGCGAGTGCCTGCTGCCGAAAGGCAGATCATTCCAACACCCAGGATGCTGTCGGAGGCGCGAGGAGAGGGAGGAGGAGGAGGAGGAGGAGGAGGAGGAGGAGGAGGAGGAGGAGGAGGAGGAGGAGGAGGAGGAGGAGGAGGAGAGGAGGAGGAGGAGGAGGAGGAGGAGGAGGAGGAGGAGGAGGAGGAGGAGGAGGAGGAGGAGGAGGATGAGGAGGAGGAGGAGGAGGAGGAGGAGGAGGAGGAGGAGGAGGAGGAGGAGGAGGAGGAGGAGGAGGAGGAGCCTCGAGGGCGCGCTCGCCCTCGAGGCTCCTCGCCGCCCTCGGCCCCCTAAGGGCCCTCCGCGTGCCCCTGGCTGCCCTGCCCGACGGGCTCCGCGCTCGCCCGGCGCCCTCCTCGCTCCCCACGGGGTGCCGACAGGTGCCTCGCGGACGTAGCCTCGAGCCGGCAATGCCCCTCTACAGGAGGAACATCCAGAATTGGTCAACACATATGATCTTGACGAGGTGTCTCCTATTCTTGACTATCTTGGCGCATGTTTATATACGATGGTGTATTCTTCCTCCAAGATCCGCCTGTAGAAGGACATGCCCGGCCTAAATGTAGCCGGGGCCGCGGGCAAAGGGAGCGGGTTCGTGGTGGGGCTCCGAGGCCCAACCGAGGTGCCAAGTCTGCCGCAGGCAGTGCCTCTTCGGTCGGCGGCAGCTCCGATCACAGTGGGATGCGGCGCGGGGGGCGTCCCCGGGGGACGCCCGAGGCGTTCCGGAAAGGGCCTCGCCCTCGAGGATCGAAGGAGATGCCATCCATGCCTCGGCGGAAGGTCTTCGTCCTCGTACGGTCCCCCCCCCGCCCTCCTCCCGGGCAAGCGACGCTCTCGAAGGGCTTCGGTTTTGGACCTCGGGGCCCAGGCCAGCAGATTTCTCGTTGGGCATGGGTCCCCTTCCCCGAGGTCGGTCTCGGCTGCTTCGTGGGGGCCGTGGCGCCTCCCTCCACCGGGGGGAGGGGGGAGCCGCCCCGCAGTGCCCCAAAACATGTTTTTTTTTTTTTTTTTTTTTTCTTTTCTCTTTCCCATATTAGGGTTTCCAGAACCGGCCACATCACTACACCAGGTCCCGCTGCACACGGTCCCGCCAACGCCCGAGCTCCAGAGGCGACCCTGGAGGGGCGAGGAGCGCAGGGGGAGGGCACTGCACGCACTCGTCGGGGAGCCTCGCCGAAGAGATATTAGATATGGACCATCAGCACCCCCCGGATGCACCACGTGCTGCTCCCCCCCCCGGGCCATGCGCCCTCTACCGTTGCCTCTGAGAGCTTGCACCCGCCGCCTCCCCTCGGGGGGGAGGGGCGCTGGGAGCCCTCGGCTCCCTAGGCCTGGGGCGCGCGGGTGCAGGCCGCCAGCCTCGGAGCGTGCCCAGCGGCGCTCGCGGCGCACGTGCGTCCTTCCGTCGGGCGGAGGCCCCCCCCCCAAGCGGTGCGGTGACCACACCGTGTGGTGAGCTGCTGGGGATTCATACGGTTGGCGTCCTCCTTGTCCTCCTCCTCTTCCTCCTCCTCCTGCTCCCCCTCCTCCTCCTCCCCTCCTCCTCCTGCTCTCCCTCCTCTCTTCCTCCTCCTCCTCCACCTCCTCCTCTCCTCCTCCTCCTCCTCCTCCTCCTCCTCCTCCCTCTCCTCCTCCTGCTCCCCCTCCTCCTCCTCCTCCTTCTCCTGCTCCCCCTCCTCCTCCTCCTCCTCCTCCTCCTCCTCCTCCTCCTCCTCCTTGGAGATAGCGTTCACCAAGGAAGCCCTGGCAGGGAGCTAGTGTGCACCGACGAGGCCCGCGCAGGGAGATGGCGCGCGCAGAAGGAGCTCTCGCGGGGGGATCGCCTCCTAGGGATGACGTGCTTTTCGAAGATCGATGTCGCACAATCTCTACGCAACGCCAACTGCTCGAGGAACGTCCTGGAGGCCTCGCGCGGCTCGCAATAGTTGTGCCACCTCGTCCACGCGGCCTCTCCGTGAGACACGGGTCGACGTTCGCGCGGCATTGCTCCGACGTAGGTCCGAGGTGGATCCGACGTACTTCCGACCTGCATCTGACGCAATCCGGCGTGAACCCGACGCACGTCCGACGTGCATCCGACGTAGATCCGGCGCACACCGACGCGAAGCCGACGTAGATCCACCGCAGATCTGGCGCACCTCTCTTCTCTCGCGTTGCCCGCGCGAGGCACCCCGGGAGTCTCCTCGTCGAGGTTTTGGGGCCACCTTCGCGGGCCTGGGCCTCGGGCCGTGCTCCGAGGATCTCTCCCCCAAAGAATCCGTGCGGCGGCGGGCCGCGCGGTGAGGTCCTCGTGGGGTTCCGAGATCCGCCGCGCGGCCCGTCGTCACGCGGTCTCGGGCCCACCAATGGGGGGGCGGGGGGGGTACGACCCTGCACGGCTTCCCCCGGGGCCATGGGCGACCCGAGGAGGAGGAGACGGAGGAGGAGGAGGAGGAGGAGGAGGAGGAGAGGAGGGGGAGGAGGAGGAGGAGGAGGAGGAGGAGGAGGAGGAGGAGGAGGAGGAGGAGGAGGAGGAGGAGGAGGAGGAGGAGGGAGGAGGAGGAGGAGGAGAGGAGGAGGAGGAGGAGGAGGAGGAGGAGGAGGAGGAGGAGGAGGAGGAGGAGGAGGAGGAGGAGGAGGAGGATGGGCCGCCCAAGCCCTTCGGAGAAAGCCTCCAGCACGACCTTCAGAGTCTCAGGGACGGCCTGGCCGACCCCCAGCAGACCGTCCCCTTCCGTGGCGTCCCTCCCTCGCCTCGCCCCTGAGACGGGTGTATCCAGCCTGGGGAAAAGCTCGGAAGGCGAGGATGACGTCACGGAAGGGGATCAAGCAGTGGCGAAGCGTCTCGGCTTGCCTATATGCCTACCAAGCACTGTTCGAAGAACCTTTTGTGGTTTGCACGACATGTTCTTAGACCAGTTCTTGCCGGGACTGGTCTTGTTTTATCACATCGGGTTCATTATGTTCTCCGGCATTGTCCCCGTCGCTTTCCAGCACAGCGCGTTCCACTTCTCAGGCTGCGGCTTCGCTGCAGTCGAGGCCAGGACCTGGCGGTTGGCGAGCCCGAAGCACGCCGCGGGTGAGAACATTGTTTTTGTTCTTAGAACATGTTTGGGTTCTTAGAACATGTCGTGGTAGGCCTATAGGAATGCCGGGACGGTCGGTCCCTGCTCAAGGGACTGTTTTGCCACGGGCTGGTGGGGCCGCGCCCGGCAGAGCAGCGCGGCCCCGCCGCACGTCGCCGCAGGTTCACCTCGACCCGAAGCAGGCCTCCAACAAGAAGATCCTCAGCCAAGTCACGGACCCCCTCGGCTGCCCCCTCCGCCCGAGCCCGCTCGCTGGGCAGCACATCGTGTCAGAGCCCCGAATCATCAGGGGTAACTCGGGTCATGGCTAACTCGGGTTCGCTTTTCGGGAATCCAAACCCGAGTTACCCCAGGCCCGAGTTACCCCGGATAATTCGGGCGCCCAGAGCCCCAATTCATCAGGGGTAACTCGGGTCAGGGCTAACTCGGGTTCGTTTTTCGGGAATCCAAGCCCGAGTTACCCAGGACCCGAGTTACCCCGGATAACTCGGGCGCCCAACATCGTGGGAGCCTTGCGCACCCTCGTGATTATGCCTTTAGCGTCGACTAGCGTCGATTCGCGTCTGGGAGTGGACGAGGTAGCGCCGATTTCGCGTCGGCTGGCGTCGACTAGCGTCGATTCAGCGCCGATTAGCGTCGATTAGCGTCGGCCAGCGCCGATTCGCAAGAGCCGACAAGGTTCGCATGCGATTTTTCTCCCCCGATCCCCGAGGTCCGCCCGAAAGATTTGGCCGCTCAGAGCAAGGAGAGGGGGAAACCCTGGGATACGCCCCCCCAGAGGGCTACTCGGGCGCGCCCCTCTCGAGGATGGACGCACTGCCCTATATCGTATATCCCATGGTGGGGCTCCGCACTCTTGGTCCATGCGAATAACCCCGCGGAGCCCAGGAGAGGGGTCGACGCCTCCCCTGGCCAACGATGGTGCGGGAGGCCCCTCGCCTTAGCGCCGCGCACATTTGTTTTCAACATTTGCAAGAGTTTCATGGATTTGCGTGATCAACGTACCAGAAATGGTGTTTTGGAAGGTTCAGGATTATACGTGTGCAACAGTTATGTTGACTCGCGGTGCTGAAGTCCGAAAAATTGCGTTCTGGTACGATTCCGAATCGTTAAGACGCAGCAGTCCGATTGATACGTGGCGTTGAGATCCCGAGAAGAATGTTTTGGCATGCTTCAGGATCTTCGAACGGTTGTCTTCCAACGAGGCAGTTCCCTCAATGGACACGAACCGTTGTGGGGGCCTACGAAGAGGGAGCTTGGAGGGAGGGTGAATTCCAACATCGTTGATGACTCCTGATTTTACACTGGTCCCCTCCTCCTCCTCCTCCTCCTCCTCCTCCTCCTCCTCCTCCTCCTCCTCCTCCTCCTCCTCCTCCTCTTCCTCCTCAGTGGTCAGGGCTCCGCGGACGTCCCCGTGGGCGGTGCCTGGCCGTCGGAGCACCCACGGGCGGGCCCGCTCGCTCCCCCGGGGGCGAGAGAGACCACCGGCGGCACCGTCGGGGCGGGGCCCTGCTGCCAGCCATGGCCGTGGCCCCGCCGCCGCCCTGAGGGGCGGGAGCTTGCGGGCAGGGCCACACGGGGGAGGAGGAGAGGAGGAGGAGGAGGGGGAGGAGGAGGAGGAGGAGGAGGAGGAGGAGGAGGAGGAGGAGGAGGAGGAGGAGGGTCAGGAGGAGGGGGAGGAGGACGGCCGCGGCCCTGGGAGGAGTCCAGAGCTGTCGGGTGTAGTCCGTGAGGCTTGCCACCATGGCCGTCACGCATTTACGGTAGGTTCTCTACCTTAGGTTCATGCGGCGTTGGCGCGCCGGCGGCGCTGGCGAAGCCATTCCAGGTTGAATTCTGCGGCGCGGAAGCACCGAGGGGCACGACAACGCCAATGGGCCCGACGGGCTTCAACCTTGAAGGATCGGGGTCGCGATCGATTCAAGGTTGAACGATTGACGCGGTGTCAAAAACCTTTGCGCGCCGACGCCGCACGAACCTACCGTAGGCCTCCCAGTTGGGGTCGGAGTATATAGGGTCGGAGGTTCGCGCCGCATCGCCGATGCATCGCCGATGCGGATCGATGTGGAGCCAGATTTTCTCCGCGCTGGCGTTGCCGAAGCTTCGCCGACGTCGCCGATGCATCGCCGATGCATCGCCGATGCATCCGCAATGCGGTGGGATCCTCCGACGCTACTTGCTCGGACCACATGTAGGCAGAAGTAGGCCACTAGTGGGCGACAACGGCTGGTTCCCCGCGACCACCCCATGGACGGGACCCCATGGGCGGGTCCTGGTGACCAACAACGGCTGGACCCCCCGTGTGCAAGCATCACCTTTTCGGGGCCGAGGCGGTAGCCCCTTCCTGTTAGCGATGTCCCAGACATCGAAACTTGGTGAGCATCTTGAAGTCGGAAGGAGCTGTGCTGAGATCCGAATAGATCAAGTGATATGTACCTTGTTTCGGCAGCCTAGTGGCCCCAAAGGGGCAGGCGGATAATCATCCAGATTGCGCCACCTGCATCAGCAACATGTCTTGTTCCGAAACCATTCGACCGCTTCGCTGTCTCAACATAGTTGGAACCAGTCATTTCCGAGTCCTCCTCCCTCCTAGTTTTCATCCCTATCTTTCTTCGCTTCATGCTTCATGCCACTGATGGTCTTCCCTCTCTCGTACTTCTCCCCCTTACTGCCCTCTCCGCTTCCTTCTCCTCCTCTCGATCTTCTGCTTCGCCTCTCTGGCTATTTCCCTGACCGTCGAAGGAAGAGATGCGCCGCATTACCGGAGGGATGCCGAGGACCATGATCGCGAAGCAAAATATGGCCAAGACCAACCAGCGCAAGGCAGCGAGCTCGTCGCTACCGTGCGTGTGTGTGTGTGTGTGTGTGTGTGTGTGTGTATGTGCGTGTGTGTGCTTGTAAGTGTGTTGCCTCGTCGTGGTCTCGTTGCAATTTGCGACCACATGCAAACCCCACACCTGCGAGTCCAATCGACGCTGGGGTATCGGGCACACCTCTGGGTTTCATTTGGTTGCAGACATCTTCCGAATTCTGACCCTCAGGCGGGGTTTCAGAAATCTGACCTGCAGGTGTAGGGTGCACGTGTGGCTGACTGGCAGTCTCAGTCTGGGGTGCCAGGGTGCTCGTGCCGAGCGTGGGCGATCCGAATTCTCGGAACAAACGCCGGGACACTCGTGCGTCAACTTCCAGTTTAGGGGATGTTGGCCTTGTGAGGTCCTGCGCTTTGTTGATTTTTACCCCATGCGCAGCGGGGGCTCGTGCGAACACTCGTGTCTGCCCAGCCCTACTCTCCAGAGGCCAGTTGATGCAAGCGGTGCGCTCTGTGTCTTCGTGGGGCGCCGTGGAACGTGGGTCGCTGCTCCCCAGCTCTGGGTCATTTTGAGCTTCGTTGTTTTTGAAAACGCTGGGGGCGTTTTTTCCTGTTCAATTTTGCTTCTTGCGGTCGACCAAAAGAGAACACACAACGGCAACCTAACACATGTCAAACACGACACCCGCCAGGCCCAAAACGAACGGAACACAACACCCGCCAGGCCCAACACAACCTTGCTGCGACGCCGCTACGAACACAGACACACAACGGCAGCTAAACGCAATCAAACAACGGATGACACAACGAACCGAAAACGGCGAGACGGCAATTCCAAAATAACAAAAACGACACACAACAAAGTATAACAACGTCGAGCTCGACAACGGAGGAACACACGCCCCAAGCGTTTTTTATGAACTTCTCAGATGCGGGACCTTTGGCCGACATTCCAAACCGCTTGGGCTACTTATCCATCTAATCTCCGCAGCACCCAGTGGAGGAAAGGCTACCGATGCCGTTGCCTTTGCTTCGTTTTCCCCGTTTGGGCCCCCTTGGGAGTCCCTCGTCGCCACCGCTGGATTCGCCTCGAAGCTCTGATTAGAACGCACCCCAGGAGAGATCGGAGGAGGGAGGAGGGAGGAGGGAGGAGGGAGGGAGAGAGGGAGTGATGGTACCAGTATCGGCATTCTTTAGTTTCCCCAAGCGCCTCCATGCACCCGCCGTGGAGGCTTGAACAATCTGTAGTGGTCGTCCGGGCGAGGGTTCGCGGCTAGAAGTAAGTATCCAGAGTCATTGGGCTATTCTGAAGTTATTTTTATCCGACTGTTTCGTGGAGGTATTTGGAAGCCCAGCTCACATCACAGTACTGGGGCAGGGATAGTTTGAAGAAGAAGACGGTGGAAGTAAGTTCGAGACGTCCAGGGTGGGCCAGGAGTTAGAGAGGTCAACTAGGTGGTCTTCAGAAGCGAGCGTGCTATCGACTGCTACCGAGATCATGTCGTATCTGGGTGAAGGAGGGAGAGACGATTGCGCTTGCACATAGCCGTGATCATACAGACAATGGTAGCACGTGGAGATGCAATCGTGGCCTGGAGATTCTAAAATCTGCGATAGCGATCGCGTCGTTGAACATTCCAGTAGTAGTGGCCAGCAGGGGAGGGGAGGGCGCTGGGATATTGGACTGCCAAAGGTGGAACAGTGATAGTGGGAAGAACGGACGGGAAGGGACGGAATCTGAGAACACGAGGGAGAAGGAGGGAGCGATTGGAGGTGATGGAAGGAGGGAGCTACAGACGAGTCCTGGGAATATACGTTGAGGGTGGACAGGGAGGTGGGGAAGGGATGCCGAGGGCTTCCCGAGTGGAGTGAGCATCGTGATCAAGGGCAAATTGATGATGGACTTCTTGACCAGGCAAGCTTTGCATTCCTGGAGTCTCTCCACTACTAGTTAGTGCTCCAGTGCGTATTCGTTGTTCCTATCTTTCTTTCTGCCCCTTCTCTCTCTCTCGAAGCTTCTGTGAGACACGCTGGATCGCTCTCCCTTCTCTCCCGACCCTCCCTTCCATCCTTCTTTTAATCTTGCGAATGTGGTCTTCAGTGGTCTTTGACGCTGTCCCGTGTATACCTCCATGTGTGAACTGTTGATTTGTGCATGTTTGTCCTTCCCCCTCCTTCTCTTCCATTCCCGTCCGCGCCAACATATGTTTGCGCGCCTCCATGGCCTTCACTGTAGGGGTGTGCGCTGGCCTCTAATATGTGTGTTGGTGTGTCGGTGTGTTGGTGTGTTGGTGTGTTGGTATGCTGGTGTGCTGGTGTGTTGGTGTGTTGGTGTGTTGGTGTGTTGGTGTGTTGGCGAGTTGGTGTGTTGGTGTGTGTGTGTGTGTTTGTGTGTGTGTGTGTGTGTGCGTGTGTGCGTGTGTGCGTGTGCGCGTGTGTGCGTGTGTGCGTGTGTGCGTGTGTGCGTGTGTGCGTGTGTGCGTGTGCGCGTTTGCGCGTGTGCGTGTGTGCGTGTGTGCGTGTGCGCGTGTGCGCGTGTGCGTGTGTGCGTGTGTGCGTGTGTGCGCGTGTGCGCGTGTGCGCGTTTTCGCGTGTGCGCGTGTGCGCGTGTGTGCGTGTGCGCGTGTGCGCGTGTCCGCGCGTGTGCGCGTGTGTGCGCGTGTGCGCGTGTGTGCGTGTGTGCGTGTGTGCGTGTGCGCGTGTGCGCGTGTGCGCGTGTGCGCGTGTGTGCGTGTGCGTGTGCGTGTGTGTGTGTGTGTGTGTGCCTGTGTGCGTGTGCGCGTGTGCATGTGTGCGTGTGCGCGTGTGTGCGTGTGTGCGGTGTGTGTGTGCGCGTGTGTGTTGTGTGTGTGTGTGCGTGTGGTGTGTGTGCGAGAAAGAGAGGGAGAGAGAGAGAGAAGAATAGTGTGTGTGTGGTGTGTGTGTGTGTGTGCGTGCGTGCGTGCGTGCGTGTTGTGTGTGTGTGTGTATGTGTGTGTGTGTGTGCGTGCGTGCGTGCGTGCGTGCGTGCGTGCGCGTGTGCGTGCGTGCGTGCGTGCGTGCGTGCGTGCGCGAACGTGCGTGCGTGCGTGCGTGTGTGCGTGTGGGTGTGGGTCTGTGGGGGCGAGTTTCTTTTGTCAGGGGACGGGGTCGGTGGGGGGCGTAGCGAGGGAGTCTCGCAGGTGGAGGAGGAGGAGGAGGAGGAGGAGGAGGAGGAGGAGCAGGATGAGGAGGAGGATGAGAAGGAGGAGGAGGCGGGAGGTGGAGGAGGAGGAGGACGAGGAGGAGGAGGATGAGACGGAGGAGACGGAGGAGACGGAGGAGGAGGTGGAGGAGGATGAGGAGGAGAGGAGGAGGAGGCGGAGGAGGAGGAGGAGGCGGAGGAGGAGGAGGGAGGAGGAGGAGGAGGAGGAGGAGGAGGAGGCGGAGGAGGAGGGAGGAGGAGGAGGAGGACGAGGAGGAGGAGGAGGAGGAGGAGGAGACGGAGGAGACGGAGGAGGAGGTGGAGGAGGATGAGGAGGAGGAGGAGGCGGAGGAGGAGGAGGAGGCGGAGGAGGAGGAGGAGGAGGAGGAGGCGGAGGAGGAGGAGGAGGAGGAGGAGGCGTTCCCGTGCCGCGAGCAGGACTGGACGAGTGTGGAACAGGAGCGAGCAGCTGCTTCTCCTGCTCTCTTTCCCCAAACGTGCGCGACACGGAGCTGCTCCGGGCGAGGTGTGCGGCAAGCCGCCCGGTCTCCGCGGCGCCCTCGGGCTTCCGGAGGCGAACGGACGGCTCGGTGGTCGTCGCAGTATCTGCGGACCTTTTCTCCGTGCTCTCCCCAGGCTCTCGGGGCACTGGGCGAGCGGGGATGGCGGACCGGCCGCGCCCGCCGAGGCTGAACACCCTCGTCTTGCCCCGCGTCCGCGACTTCGAGGGTCCGGGGGATGGGAAGTCGTGCCACCTCGCAGCCTCTCGCGCCCTCGTCGCCCGCTCCCCGCCCACCCAGCTGTCTGCCGCTGCTGCGCCGCCCCCCGCTCGGCCCGCTCTCTCCCCCCGCCAGGGCTCGATCCGAGCGGTGCTCTGACGAGCTCGTGGGCCGTTCTCGCTCCGATGCCGCTCCGCAGCTGCGGCAGCACGACGACGGAGCGAGGGAGAGCGCACCCGCAGCGAAGACGAAGGCACACTGCTTGGCTCCCGCCCCTGCTCCCCGCCTGCCTTCCTCCTGCCACGCGACGGCTGACCGTCTGCGCAGGCGGCCTCGCGCCGGTCTGCCGGCCGCCAGGGCGAGCCGAGGCGTGGTCCAGGATGCCACTGGCCTCTCGGTGGCCTCCTGGGGTCTCTCGAGGCCCCCCTTTCGCCCCTCGCTGGGGCCCCCTGGGGTCTCCTGTGGCCTCCCGGGGCCTCTGCGCGGTCTCTCTGTGGCCCCCCCCTTGTCCCCCCTCTCTCCCCTCCCTTCCCCTCTCCCTCCTCTCCTCCTCGGCAACGATGCCCTCTGGCATCTTTGCGCGGACATGCGAGCTCGGAGTTCCGAGTTCCCCTCACCCTCCCCCCCCCCTCCCCACCCCTTGGAGCGCAAGGCAAACACACATACATGAGCTCGCGGACACTCGCGTGCTGTCTGAGCGGCAGGAACTGGCTTTCGCACAGGCGCAGTCTCGAGGGAGCGATGGCCTGCCGCCGCTGCTCTAGTGCGAGTTGTCTTCCGTCCTCCTCCTCCTCGTCCTCCTCGTCCTCCTCTTCCTCTTCCTCCTCCTCGTCCTCCTCCTCCTCGTCCTCTTCCTCCTCCTCCTCCTCCTCCTTCTCCTCGTCCTCCTCCTGTCCCTTCCGGCCCGTAGCCTGTAGCAGGGTACGGCCTCTGCGCCGATCGGGAGGGGTCTCTGGGGTGAGCCTCCGAGGGGCCTTCACGCCCACAGTGGAGGCCCATGCTGCTCGCCTCCAGGGTGCCCCGGGTTTCTCGGGCTTCGATGGCTTGCTATGGAGCGCATGACGTTCCCACACCAAAAATCAATGGAAGTCCTGGGGTCTCAGGGTTGGGTTTCTTGTGGAAGGTTTCTTGTGGACTGGCCTCCGCTGTACTTAGTTGTTTGTCCGTAGATGCACTGGAAAGAAAGGGCAGGGGCTTCTTGGGATCCTCCTCGGGGGGATCATTGGGATGTCTGCAGCCCCTGAGTGGGGGATACACCCGCAGGGGGAGACGAGTCGACGTGACTTTCGGAAGTGCGTTGGAATCTTTCGTTCTGGGAGCCTTTTAGGGGACCTCTCGGAGCCACATTGGCCGTCATGAGGCCATTTTGGGAATATGCGGGGTCATCTTCGGGCCCTCTTGAGGCCATTTCGGGTCCGTGAGGGCCTCTTGGCGGCATGGGCCTGGGGGCTGCATTGGGGTGCGTGGGTTCCCTGAGCTTCTTCGAGCTTGCTCTGTGACGATCCTTGGGGGCCGTCTTGAGAGCTTCTTGGGGCCCTCTTGGTCCGTGTTTTCGGACATCGAGAAAAAGCAAGAACACACTCATGTTTCAAACCGTCGCGGGTACTCAATGACTTGAGCCTTCTGAGGCCCTCTGGAGGGTTATCTTGAGGCCCTCTTGGGGCTTTTCAAGAGCCTCTTAGGCAGTCTTGAGGCCATCTTCTGTCTGCTTCAGTATTTTCCGGCGCGTTGGAAACCGTCTTGGACATCTTCGAAGGCATTTGGGATCTGTTGTGGTTTGGAGGCGTCGGAGGACGCATTTGGAGGCCCCGGCAGGTGCGTTGATGAGCTCGTCGCCCCCCCCCTCCCCCCCTTCCCTCCAAGAGGATCGTGGGCCCCAGGGGAGGAAGGACCAGGGGCCTCGCACGCTCTCTCATCCATGGCAAACGGGGGGCGGCGTAATTCCAGACTCTGTTCAGACTAGTCTCGAGTCGAATCGCCTCGTATCCTCTTGTCTCTCCTCCTCTCCGTCTTGACGCTTGCTAATGTCGACGCTCATCTATATAAATACATATACACATATATGAACCATCATCATCATCAACACGTTGTGTATCTACTGCCTGAACATACATGCATGTATGTTTATGTATATCTATACACATGACCTCTATATAGCATCCATACATCTATGTATGCAAGTGCATGCATACATTTATATGCATGTTTGCGACCCTCCAGCATCATAACTTTCGCGTGTGCTAGATATCTTTCGCTTCCGTCGTTTGTATATGGCATGCTCCTGCTGCTGCTGCCGCTGCCGCTGCTGTTCATTCCTCTGATGAGGAAGGGGAATATCTAAAAAGGAGGAGGAGGCATGATGATAAGGAGCATATCCCAAATCAGAGGATATTCATTGAATGTGAATAGGTTTCTGATACGATTCAAATGGGAACTGAACGTGATTCCAGATCCAGGGGATTCCTATTGAACTTGGATGGGCTTCTGAGCAGACTTCAATAGAAACGGGACAAATCCCAGATACACCAAAGAATTCCTATAGAGGTTGACTCGGGTTCTGGTAGGGTTTAATAGAAGCGAAGCAGAACCCAGATCCAGAGGATTCGTAGTGGATGCGAATCGGCTTCAGTCAGTTTTCAATAGATGCGGGCCAGATCCCAGATCCAAAGAATTCCGATATAATTGGAATCGGATCCGGATATGGCTTCGACAGGGAAGGGGCAGATCCCAGACCCAGAGTATTTCTATCGAATCGGGATTTGGCTCCCATCTGCTGTCATCAGAAGCGGAGCTTATCCAATATCCAGAGGGTTTCTATAACGTTTGAATGGGATTCTAATCGGATTCCAAGTAAGATGGAGCAGATCCCAGATCCAGACGATTCCGATGAACTTTAAATCGGTTTCTGATCCGGTGCCACCAGAAACAGAATGGACCTCAGATTTAGATTATTCTTATTCCTACTACCTGTGGATCAGATCCGAATGGGGTCCAAGAGGAACGGAGCAGATCCCAGAGCCAGAGGATTCTTGTTGAATGCAGATCCATCGAGACAGCCACGGCATCTTTCCGAAAACGTCGTCGGCATCCTCCTTCGATGTATGTTACTCTTGTTTCTGACCTCATCCCTCTCCTTCTGCTTTCCTCATTTGCCCTCTCATCCTCCGCATGACCTTTCCTCTTCCGTCTCCGTTCCCGCCGTTTTCCTCTAGTGTTTTCTTTTCCTGCTCCTCCTGCTGCTGCTGCCGCTGTTGCTTCTTTCTCTAATGAGTGAGAGGGATTAATAAGGGAGAGAATGAGGAGGGTGAGGAGAACGATGATGAGGAGTGAGCCTTTATCACATTCTGATGTGATTCTATTTTGATTTCAACAGACATAGTGCTGATCCCAGACCCAGAGCAATATTGATGTCTTTGGATGGGCTCCGAAGCAAAGTTCAATTCAAACGGAGCAGACCAGATATGCAAATACTCCCATTAGAATTTGGATCGGGTTCTGTAGGATTTAAATAGGGACGGATCAGATCCCAGATCCAGAGTGTTTCTATCGCCTTTGCATAAGATTCAATAGGGGCAGGGGGGGCCGATTGTTTTTTTACATGTTTGTTAAAATCCGATTTGGGTGAAAACGGAGCAGATCCCAGATCCAGGAGGAAGAGGATACGGAGGAGGAGGGGATGGAGGAGGAGGACGAGGAAGAAGAAGGGGAGAAGGAGAGCAGGAGCGAGCAGGAGCGGGGGCGAAGACAGGCAGGGATGCGCAGAGACTGTCAATTGATCATCTCTGTGATTTCAGCTTCTCCACCTTGTCCCAGAGTCTGACCGTCAAAAAACGCTGATTTTTCTGGATGTTCCGCTTTCCCCAAATTCTGGCACTAGAGAGCAACGTTGTTTTTTTTTCATTTTTTTGTTCTTCAGATTTTCACATCGGCTGAACCTGAACAACGTTGCGTTTCCGGCTTTTCCTCAGCTTTTCCAGTTCTAGATTCTGCAGCAGGGTAGTGCCTGGGAGAAGGTGAACCGGGTGGAGGAGCGGGAACACACAGCGTTGTTCAACGGTCAGTCTTTAGGAAACGCTGAGCAAGCTGAAAAGATAATGTGTTTCAACGGGCAGTCTGTGGGACAAGGTGGAAAAGACGGAAAACATAAATTTGTTCAAACGCCAGTCTTTTTGGCGAAAGCCGTAAAAGAAAGCTTGACACGATAGTGGTTTCGAGTTCCCAGTCTCTGGGGGGAGTTGGATATATACACACACATCTATATATACACTATATATACGTATTATATATAGAGAGAGAGAGAGAGAGAGAGAGAGAGAGAGCGAGAGAGCGAGAGAGCGAGAGAGAGAGGGAGAGAGAGAGAGAGAGAGACATAGCGGATCATGTTTCTTTATTGTTTGGGCCATAATGGGCATTATAGCCCCCGGCCCCCCCTCCCCCTGCAACGTAACGCCCCTCCCTCCGCCCCTCCCTCCGCAGTGCGCGCTGGGCACTGCCGCCGTGCGCATCGGGATCCACATCGGCGTCTGTATAGGAGTCCGCCTAGGAGCCTGGGCCGCATTTGGGAATATCATAGGGGATCCGCATAGGGATGCGCATGCGCATCCGCATAGGGATCCGCAGGGATCCGCGCAAGGAGCCGCATAGGGATTCGCATGGCGCTGCGCATGGCGCTGTGCATGGCTATCCGCATAGGCATCCGCATCGGGATCCGCATCGGGATTCGCATAAACATCCTCATAGGGATCCGCACATGGATCCGCATAGGGATCTGCCTTGGGATCCACATAGGGCTTCGCATATGAACCTGCACTGGGATCCGCATAGGGATCCGAAATTGTGGTTTTGTGTTTCTGGGGAAAACTTTTTCTCTTCCTTCAACTCCTCCCTCGCTTCCTTCTCTTTCTCCTTCTCCTCCTCCTCCTCCTCCTTCTCCTTCTTCTCCCCTTCCTCCTCCTCCCTCTCTTCCTCCACATCGCCTTTTTTGGGTCAAGCAATCTCGGCGCCAAGAGG